AATTACCATTACCTTCTATTTCTTCTAATGAGGATACTTCCATAATATCTAAAAATGACTCTAAGGTGAATTAATAAAATAATATTTCTTTAGAAATCATCTAACCCATCAACGAAATTCATTCAAGCTTAGTATCTTTTATTCTTTTTTTTTGTTTGATGAAAATATTTTTAAGTTTTTTTATTAAACTTTTATGTCACTATCAGACATTGTTATTATTTTTAAAAGAAAGCTTTTTTTTTAAATTAAAAAAAAAAATTTTTTTTTTTCAAAAAATTATCTTGTATAACGATAATGAAATATTGTGTCAAGATATGAAGATTTTACTGCAGTATTTAAGACACAGCACTTAAATTAAATGTTACTGTAAATATTAAATTATAACTTAATTATTGTATTTTTTTTTGAGAGAATTGTATTATGCAAATTATTAATAATTACGAGGCGATATTACTAAATAAAGCAAATTTCTACCTTATAGTTAAAAAAAATAAATTTCAAATTATAAATATTTAGAGGTTGGAACTGACCCAAAAATCCTTAACCGGTTAATTAACCAGTTAAATTTAACTCAGGCTGGCATTATAAATTTGGGCAAAACTAGCGAAATTTTATAATTGCAAAAAAGTTTTAATTCTGCCTAAAAATTAAATTTCGATCAAAGTTAGCATTAGTTATTTTAATCGGGTTAAAAAAAAATCTTTAACCAGTTAACAAGATAAATGTCTTAACCAGTTAATTAACCAGTTAGAAATTAACTGGTTCTAACTCAATAATAAAATTCTTTATTTAATTGATTTGATTTTTAACAGATTTTTTGTATTAATAGTATTAATAGCAGTTCTTTGATGTTTATGGGTTATAAACGGAGTTTTAAGGTAAGCAGAAGGTATCATTTTTATTATTTTTACTAATTTAATTAATAATAATCAGAATTTCTAATTTAATATAACATAGATATCGTATTGCCTGCAACGTCAGCACTCTGTACAATCAGGTATGTTTATTAATTATATCTTTCAGAGTTATTACAATAAAAATATAAAGAGAAATAATAACAATATTTTCGTATTTAGGGAATTATCGGACTTTTCAAGGATTAGATGAACTGTTTATTATTTCGGGTATTTAATTCTTTATTTTTGTGTTAAAAAATGTATATCTTTTTATTAAGAAAATTTCGCCATTTATATACATAAATTTCTTACAGGACAATTATGGCCAGTGAACAATAATGGCTAGTGAATAATAATGACTAGCAAACATTAATAACCAGTGATCTTCATTGCGCTAACTTAAATTTTGTTAGCTAAATTTCTTATAATAATAATAATAATAATAATAATAATAATAAAACATTAGCAATAAAAATAAAACATATATAGAAGTGAAATGCTAATGATAAATGCTAATAAACTAATAAAATAAGGAAGAAACTAATAATAAATGTTTATTTAATAAAATCAATATATCTTTCGATACAAGTAATTACATATAATTATTAATGTAACAATACTATTATCTTGACAATCTAATTTAATAATATCATTTTTATATATAATTGAATTATTATATTTAATAAGATTGAAAAAGTAAGAATAATAGATTGATAATATTTCAAATATTAATAAATAAGCTTCAGATATCAAAGCATTTCAGTCAATCTTTTTTGCATATTTTGAATCCTATATATAATTAATAGGATCAATATTATCAAATCTGAATAACTAAAATAAATATTAAATTGTTATTATAAATAAAAAATTATTCTGATATTTAAATCATAACTATTTTTTCTTATACTTAAATTTTACAATTACTCTATCTAACCCAATTGATAATATATGAAGTTATAAAAGTAATATAATTAAAATTTTTATATAATGCTGAATGTTATTAGTTTAATTTATCTAATAATCTAATCAAATTAAATGTCTATAGTTATATCCCAAAAATTATTATTAATATCAAAAATCAAATTGCAATTACTTATATTCTTTAAGTAAGTTTAACTAATCTTATAAATTTCTTATTTTATAACTTAAGCTTAAATTTAATAATAATTACAACTTCTAAGATACTATTATCCAAGTTATCATTATATTAATTTCTAACAAATTAAAGGATACTTACTATCAATAATATATCTAAGTTGTAGTAAATAGGATTCTGCAATTCGATTTGATATTTGAATATTTGATTTGATCAAATCCAAATTAATGTTTAATTTAGAGGTTGAAACTGAATTTATTTTTATATCCAGATTTATTTATTTTCAAAAATTGGAATCAGATTTAATCCGAATTTATTATATCCAATTTCTTCGGATTCAATCCAGATTTATTATATCTAAATTTATGTATCCAATAAAGCCTTCAACTGCTAGAATTGCTAGAAAATGTATATAATTTTCATAATACTTTGCATTCAAATATATAAATTTTTTAGCTTAACAAAAAAAAATCTTACGCAATTAATCTGATTATAATAATAAAATGATAATACATTTGATTGCGTTTTTTTCTTTTATTTAGGACACTTTTCAGGCTACGATACATACATAAAAAGTTTTTTAATAATTTTTTATTTATTTTATTTTTATTTTTCATTAAATTTTGTTACTCATTTTTAGGCGATAAAATCACTGTGGGCTGTAGCTATACATGAAGTCGAAATAGATCATTTCGGATATCCGAAATGGTCGAAATGGTCGAAATGATGTCATATCACATGATTTTTATATATAGAAAAAATAAAAAAAAACAAAAGACGTACGATCTCGGTCAATATTGCACCGATTCGTATGAAATAACTACCATTCGATTCCCCGCGCCTAGATGAATCCAATGAGCTAATATTCATTGATTTTGGATCATCCAATCTCGAGATAATCGCAATTGTATTATCGGCCAAAATTATGAATCAATAAATTCTACTTTAAATAAAGGAGTCCGGATTTCGGAATACGATCGCGAATATCTCGAGATGGACTGATCCAAATTCAATGAATGTTAGCTCATTGGATTCTTCAAGTCGCGGGGAATCGAATGGTAGTTGTTTCATACGAATCGGTGCAATATTGACCGAGATCGTACATATTTGTTTTTTTTGTTTTTTCTATATATAAAAAATCATGTGATATGACATAATTTCGACCATTTCGACTTTTCATTTTGACTTTGACCTCCAAAGTCAAAACATTTCGACTTGGGTTTTCATTTCGACTTCATGTATAACTCAGACACTAGAAGCTTATCTAAGAAAAGAAAGGATTACTTATGAAATTTACCAAGAAGAAAGAAAAATAATAAACATTAAGAAAAGAAAGCATCATGATGATGCATTATTACCTAATAAAAAGCAGAAATCTTTAAAAGGAAAATAACTACCACTTCCTTTGATAGTTGAAATGAATTTCAATTTATACAGAATTTCTTTAAACTACTTTTTTATTTTCAATCAAAATCATCTTTTAGTCTCTTTGACTTCAATTTGAGCAATTAATTGACTATTCTGTTGATCTTTTAATTTCCTATTTCCTCTTCTAGTTGTTTAATTCTTTCTTCTAAACCCTTTACCTTATCTAATAACTCTTGTTTTTGCTTTTTACTTCACTCTTCAGATTTTTCTGAAACTTGACTACTTCTTCTCTTTCGATTTTTAATCCTTTTTTAGCAATTAGTATTCTGCAAAAAATCTGATTCAATCTGAATCTGATCCAGATCTGACAGATCGAATTAAATCAGATTTATCAGATTCGAATCAGATTCAGATCTGAATTTTGATTTGATTTAATCCGTCAGGTCAAGATCAGATTCAGATTTGAATTTGATTTAATCTGACAGATTCAGATTTAGATTCAGATTCAATCCATCAGATTTGGATTTGGATTCAGATCTGATTTGTTAGATTTAAAATAAAAAATGCCACCCTGAAGTTAGACGTGGTATTTATTATTAAAAAATTTAATTTTTAATAATAAAATGCCACCCAAAAGTCAGACGTAGCATTTATTATTAAAAAATTTTAATTTTTAATAATAAATGCTACCCAAAGGTTAGAAATAGCATTTATTATTAAAAAAATTTAATTTTTAATAATAAAATGCCGTCCCAAAAGTCAGATGCAGCATTTATTATTAAAAAATTCATTTTTAATAATTTTAAGATTAAAATACTGCCCTGAAATTCAGAAGTAGCATTTATTAATAAAAAATTCATTTTTTATTAATTTTTAATAACAAATATCGTCTCAAAAGTCAGAGGCAGCATTTATTATTAAAAAAATTAATGTTTAATAATAAAATGCCGATCTGAACATCAGAGGTGGATTTTTGTTAAAAAAACCAAAATTGTTGTTTTTTTTAATATTAAAATGCTGTTTTGAACATCAAAGGCGGATTATTGTTAAAAAAAAACAATAAAATTGTTGTTTTTTTAACATTAAAACACCGTTTCAAATGTCAAAGGTGGATTTTTGTTAAAAAAAACAAGATTGTTATTTTTTAACCTTAAAGCGCTATTCTGAATATTAGAGGCGGATTTTTATTAAAAAATAACAAATCTGTTATTTTTTAACATTAAAACGCCGTTTCAAATGACGGTAATAAATTTTTGTTAAAAAAATTTTTCAATCTGTCGGATATGGATATGGATTCAGATACGTATTCAGATTTGTCAGATTCAGATACAGATTCAGATTCAGATTTGTCAGATTCAGATTAAATCAGATTTGAATTTATCAGATTCGAATCAAATCAGATTTAGATTTTTCAGATTCAGATCAAATCAGATTTTACACAAATCTGATTTGATCTGATCTGTGTGAAACACTATTAGTAATGATAACTCTTTTTCTAGCTTTCTACTTTTCTTTTCTAAATGAGAACTGAATACTTGTAAAAGTAATTCTTTATCAGAAATTTGCTTAGTTGATTTAGCTTTTAAATGACTACAAAGGTACCTATTTCTATTTCTTTTTAATCTACTACACTTTTCATATCATGGAAGAGTATTATTATCATAATCTTTTTTACATTCGCCACAAATAAAAACTATATCAGCATAACCATCAGGAGTATTATAACCTACTATTTAATGAGTAGCAGGAGCAGTATCAAGGCTGAAATTAGTTGAATTGTCAAAATCTAAAAAGCAAAAATTACATTCTTGTTCATCATCCTTTGCTATTTCCAAAACTTTATATTCTAATCTCATTTTACTTATTCTTTTTAACAACAATAAAGTTTGAAATTTCTCTTTAGTCTTTTTTAAACTTTGGTTACTAATTTTATGAGTTTGTGTAATCTATTTTCCTTTTATTGCTTTGGTAAAGCTGGCAATTCTTTGGTTGCTAAATAATCTTTCCAGTTTATTTCTTGATTTTTAGCCAACAATTTATTTTCTAACAAGTCTATTTGATCCAGAAATTTTTCCATTGCAACATTATATTTCAATACTATTTCAAACATTTGATACTTTCTTCACTTCATAGCTGTATTTAGTGTTTTTTTAGCTTTTTCTCGTTCCATTCATACCTCATCATCTAATTCTTCTACCTTTGTTTCTAACTCTTCATTTTTTAGTTCTAATTTTGCTATTTGATTCTTATACTTATTCTTTTGTTCAATTTTTTAAGTATTCAAATCAAAGATTTTTGACCAACTTTCTGAATATTCTGAAGTTAAATCATTTTTGAATAATCAATAAATCCTTTTAACATTTCTTTAATTGTAATGTTATCAAATCAAACTTTTTTACAATTCTTAATTTACCTTTATCCATTCACTTTTTGTTTAGATTTTTGTATCATCATGTTTTTCTAGGAATATGCATACTAACTTCACCCTTATCATTAAGAAACTGACTAGTGATATGTCAGATTTTTAGTCTAAGATTTTCTTTTTTATCTGCTAATTGTTTCTTTAAATTTTTATTTTTCTTCTATCAGTTTTTTATTACTTTCTTGAAGTTCACTTATAATATTTGTCATGACTTTCTTTTTATTACCTTTTTTTTTTAAAAAAGTAGAAAAAGTTAACTATATTTGTCAAATGATTAAACTTGTTAATAATGATAGCAAAATGAGGAACAAAGTCATAGAAATGGTTTTATTCTGAATATTTTATTTGTGCTAGTATAGAATGGACTTAGACAAGTAATATCTTTGTATTCATCTTTCACAAATAGACAAATATTATTATAAAGGTATTCTTGTCTTTTGTAATTCAAAGAAAGTGGTGTTAACACTAAAATAGATAAAGTTCTAATTTCTTCAAAAATATCTGTTCTCTTAATTTTTAATAAATTGAATTCAGTAAAAGGTCTATTAGCAACTTCTTGAACTTTGATCACAACAAGATTAGTTGCTTCAAAAAGAAAATGTTGATATTTCTAAATGCTTGGTAGTTTCTTAAAATAAATTCCCAAAATAGCTTTAATATCTAAGTATTGAAAACCTTTTCCACCTTCATAATATTGAGCTTTATTTAATCCTGCTAAACTAGATCTTTTTATTACATCAAGCACATAATCCAGACAATCTACTTTTGTTTTTTGTAGAGTTTTTTAATTAAACCAAAGTTCTATCATATTTGAATTTGGTATGTTCTAGAATCATAAAATTCAATTCAATACTTTTATAATAACTACAAATTACTAAATACAAATAAAATCAATAGTCACATTATTTTTATTTTGTCTACCAGCATTATCACAAATAATCTTTAAATGTTTTTCACCTTTATTCAATTTCTTAATTCTATCAAAAATCATGCTAAGAGTTCTATTAGGCCTTTTTTATATAATTTCATTTTCATTAAGAACATAATTAATTTGCACACTTATTGCTTCATTTTGAATACCAAATAAATTAATTTTACATGAATTAAGGTAATAGATTTTACTTACTTGTTAATCTAAATGTGACACATGAACATTTTAGGCTCAATTATAACTATAATGAGCAGTAGCTTTAACACTACAATATTATGTTTTACTCTTTATATAATTTTGATTAACTAATTTCTTTTGTTCTTCTGCTAATTTGGTATTTTATTATAATAATTTCTTTCTAATTTAGCCTTAGACAGATATTCTTTAAATCTTTTGAGCAAATCTTTAGCTTTTTCCTCTTGACGAGCATTATAATGTAAACTATCTTTAAAATGCTGACAAGTATCACATAAATCAGTTCTTGGACTCATAATTTAAATCTCTGGTGTCAATTGATGTTATAACTTTCTGAAGACATCATATTTTAAGGATTTTAATTTATTATCTTCTTCTAAACCAGCTAGAAAATCTTTATATACTGATTTGTAATTCATTTCAGCTGGTAAAAATACAATTGATTGAGTTATTCTATTGACATTTCTTCCTAGACTTGGTAATCCATGAAGTTCTGCATAATTTTTTAGAAAATTCTTTACTTCAGCAACATTTTTGTCAATCATCATTTTAGTTTTCCATTAAGGCATCCTTTTAATATTGCCACAAATTCTTGGCAGAAGACCATTGTTTATCAGATGATTTCTAATACTTTCAAAATAAGTCCTGCCAATTCCCAACATATTGAGATAAGTTTCTTGACAAAGAAGTATATTGTGATCCCAATGGTAGAAAGTTTTTTTGTTAGACCTAGTTTTTTTTTTAAGACGTCTACTGATGCTTATTGAACCATCATCCATTGCTTTAATCTGGATCATTAAAAATATGTATTGTTTAGACTTGAGAAAGAGCTTAAAAGGATTCCCTTAATTCTACAAATTGTTTCTTGAGAATTCTGGAAAAATAACCACAATTACATCCTTTTTCTAAAAAATCAATTGCTTTTTGATATTCATTAGAATTATTGTATTTATTATTACCTTTCATATACACTTATCCCTATATATATAATTTTATGTTCACTTTATAGGTTTCTTCAATTATTTTAAAATCAAAGGTTTTAAGATTGGATAGATAGAATTAAATTATGAATTTGTAATAAAAATTAAAAATAGTTTAAGTATATATCTGATAATTATTTAAATATGATTATTGAGTAACTTGTGAAGAGAAATCTCCAAGAAATTTGTCAACCTTCCATGAAAAATAATTATGACCTAGATTTAAATTAGCTTATCATCGTTAATAACCAAAATGAGAAAAATACAAACAATAAATGAAATAATAATAAGTTAATAAAAAATTGACTATCTTTACCAAATGAAATTTTTTACACATTGTTAATCATAAATAGAAAATATTATTATTGCTATAATAAATCACGTGTAGTGATTCATATTTTATTTACTTTTTATAAACATAAAATTTACTTAATTTATTTGAAATAATCAATTGTTATTTATTATCTGTGAGACGTTAGAAAAAGTTAGAATACAGGCCAATTTTGCAGATCCCTGTCCTTTGTCCTTTTCATTAGACTTATTATTTGTTATTATATTCAAAATATCTTCTAAATAGATTATAATAATAAGATTAATTATAGTTTATTTATATTTTTATTATTTATATATATTTATGTATATATTCTTATTGAATATTGTGCTGATATTCAATATACTTAAAAAAATTTTTTTTAATAAAACATTATTTTTTTTTCTTATTCCTAATATATATGATAATGAGTTCATCTGATTTTAATATAACATGTTACTAATATATTAAAATTAATATTTAATAGTTGAATTAATTAAATCAAGACTTTGGATATTGTGAGAATAATCAGAGGAAATTGTGTTTTTAGAATCAAAAGTGCTTTGTATCACAAATTTTCAGATTTACCAAGAATTAATAATGATGCACTACTTGATAAGATTATTCAAGAAAATCAATTTTATTTTTATATTAATTAATTATAAACAAAATTAATTAATCAATCTTTTTTTATAGTGGAAAAACACAGAAACTACAATAACTGTCTTGGAATTATTAGAACAAAATGAGCTGGAAGATGATAGGTCCTTCCTGAAAAACATTATTCGTAAGCTTTGAGAAAGGATAAAGGTTTAACTAAGAGATCTAAAAGAGCATTCACATAAGCAGTAATTAATGCTTTTTGGATTACAAAAACATACATGATCTTTAGATAAAAAACCATTAAACCTTTGATGAATAATTACAATGTAAGGTTATTTTAATTGTTTCACATTACTTAGCAAGTTTTTTTGGGTATAATAATTAATATATATTATTATCAATATTATCTTTACTCATTTGCATTACTAGAGTGAAAATAATATTTCATAATTATAATACTAATAGAATAGATTAATTTTTAAATACACATATTATAATAATAAAGTCTATCTTTTAAAAAATTGATTTTATTTTTATTTTTTCCAATTATTACTGCTAATATAATATGACTATTTCACATCTCAATTCGTCTATTAATAATTTATTCACATACTAATAATTTATATTCATCTACTATTTATTAGTTTATTCTCCAATATATATCTCTGATATTGGTAAAACTTTATATTTTTTTTTCTCTAATTACCTACAATCAATTATTACTAATACAAAATGATTTTATTCCATGTCATACTCACCTGTTAATGTTTTATATTTCACATTTATTTATCTATTAATTATTTATCTATTAATTATTACTTTATTTACAATATATATATCTTTAATATTGGTAAGTAATTCATTTTTCTGAATTATTTACCTACTAATAATTATTTGCGTTTCTTATCTATTTATTTATTCAAATAATAATTATTAATTTATATTCCAACATATATCTTTGATATTGATAAGAAATTTATTTTTATTATTATTACTAACACAAACAATTTTATTATACACTTTTCTAAATCATTTACCTACTAATAATTTATATTTACATTTCTTATTTATTTATTTATTTGTCTACTAATTATTCGATATTAGATGTTTGCTGAAATGGTTTTTTGAAAAAATCAATTTTGGCAGGCAATTTCGGATTTACAATATTTTTCATAAAAATGTACATAAAAAAACTACCCAGAATTTCGGCTAACATCTTTATTCGATATTGGTAAGAAAAAAAAATTTTTTTCTCTAATTACATTCAATTAATTACTACTAACACAAAACAATTTATACGAAGCAAAACTAGGAGAGTAGCTAATTTTTATTGTCAATAATTTATATTTAACTATTTTATTTGCTGGCTATTTGCTTTATTTCAGTCTCCTATGCATGATTCTAAAAAATATTGGACAAAAATAAACATAATCATTATAATTGAAAGCATGGCTTATTTTTTGTTGTATACTATAAAGAGAAACCCAGTCCTTTTGCAAAGCAAAATTAATTATTCCGTATCTTTTGGTCTCACTGCTATAAATGATTTGTTAGCTTTACATCTGAGTGAGAGGATTGGGAGAATAATAACTATCCTTTGCAAGAAGAATTAAATATGCATGAGCCTTTAATATATATAGGTGGGGATTTTGACTGCACAGAAAGAGTTTTTGAAATATAAAGCACTGATGGTGTATCCTTTGGTCGACGCATAAACCAGTTGTTGTTATAAGTTGAAATTACACCAAACTGGCACTCATTTACTACCATGTAAGAGTAGATTTGCTTAATCGCATCCTTTACATACTGGTCCTGATAGTACAACTCTGAAAGCATCAGTTCGCGATTTTCGCCATTGTCATTACAATCATCAATTTCTTTGTTGTTATTATCATCAGAGATGGGTCCCAAAATGTGTCTTCTCTTGACTTCAATTGGAAATATTAATGTAAAACTCTTTCCTGTTTTTGTGATTGTAATTT